TTGTAGTAACGGTCATTTTTTGGATTTCGAATTGTTTTATTGGGGAATTTTGACGTTCACGAATAATAAGTTATTTGCCTGCTTCAAGATAAGATTAAAGGTATAACGATCAATGAAGCAGACATAGAAATATGTTCGAGCATACCGCGTGATTTTTGATCCGTCGTTCTTATGTACTTTATTATGTACATTGTAAATTTTTTTTTTTAATTTACCGTTTAATATTTTGTAGATTGTCCTTCTGTTTTATTATTGTCTCCACATCTAAATACAGCAATTTTAAAGACTTAAAAAGCGAAATTTATCCGTTAAGCTGTTTGACGTTTCACGATTATGTACCCATACACATTTTAAAATGACTATTTTAATTATCTCTATATGAACTAGATTTATATAATTTTATATAAAACGTTATTTGTAAGCAATAAACTGCTACAGTGTATTCACTAGACAATTTGAAAGTTAAACTCAGCTGAATCAGCCCGAGAATTGCTGCGAATAAAAACTAAATATAAATTATAATCCCTAAGTGGATGTAAAACGCTTTTAAATTTAAACCGTCTTGAAATGAATAAAAATAGCCGTTGAAGCTGAACTACGCCAACCTTCTTCTGTTCACACGATCTTTGTATAGGGTTGGCATTTTCACGAAGTTTATAAAATAATATGTAATCGACTGAACAATTTATATTTAGAATACAGTTAACATAGATTTTATAAAAATATTACTTGATCATTTTAAATTAATCTTGGTAGTTATCTTAGCAGTAGTAAATTTCAAAAAAGGAACCTTTCTAATTATACCACTAGTTGGGCATCATCTTTGAATAAAATACTTTAACGGTTTAAAATGCGATGTATTTTAATTGAATTATTTGCAACGCATCGGACACGGCGGGCCGTAATTAAAATACTTTCAAATAAATTTTACAAATATACATCGCGTTTTAAACCGTTAAAGTGTTTTATTTAAAGTCTACTCTATTACATTTTATGATCTTTGAGTACATGGATAGGTATAAAATATATGTATGTATGTAGGTATGTCTTAAATAATTGCTTACATTTTTAATTCTCTTATTATCTATAAACAATGTCTTTTAAATTCGCATTAAATTGGATTTACTACCTTCATTTTTAACAAATAAAACACCTTTTTCACAACACTTACAGCAATGTCAGAACTCCAGTCGAAAAGTAAACTCCTTAATCACTGGAGCAAAAATAAATCTCATTAGTGGCAACCCTAGTGTGCAGACGGTGCAACTTCGAAGAAAACTAACACTTTTCTTTTTACATTTTTCTTGTCGAAACTCCCTCGCGCGTTGCAATCTTTTTACTCTAAGGAACGTGTACCCTTTTCAGGAGTTCTCTGGCTATCTTTCTTAACTTGACTGTTGAGAATAGGAAATCTATGGAGTCACTACTTTTTTAATGATCTAATTTTTGTAAGACTATTCAGTTCTATATGATATTCTAATATATTATACTACTGTTTAATTTTATTAATAATGGTTAAGTCGCTTTAAAAGTAATATCCATAATGTTAGCACAATATTTGTCCTCTATCGTCAAATGTGTTTAGGATCATACTGATGACTTAAATAATGTATAAATTAATAAAAATAGATCACTACATATATTGAAATAAAACACTTAAACTGTTTAAAACGCGATATAATAATACATTAGTTAAACTTATTTGAAAATTATTTTACCTTCGACCCGACGTTTCGGATGCAAAGCAGCAGTTCTTTCAAATATATTAAATATAATATATATCGCGTTTTAAACCGTCGAAGTGTATTATTTTTATGTGTACTACTCGCGTAAACTACAGACAGTATTAACATATATTAATAAAAATTCGTAATTCATAAATATAAAACTTGTACCTAATACAATAAAATTGAACGAAGTCTCAACATCTTTCCCTCTTCCTTGAACACTTCTTAAGTTTTTATTTGACCACTGAAGCATTCGCGAGATAGCACTGCGGTGAAAATTAAAAAAAAAAGAAACGAAACGGGGAAAAAACCAGTGGAATCCAGTTGAGATAAAACTTTTCTTACTTTTATCGTTTTTGCGATTTCTTGCGAAAATGTTTCTCTCTCTCCTTCGTACTTTCGTTTATCGAGTTAAATTTATTATTATGATGTGGTTTTTCGTTGTTTCGTTGCTTAGGAATACTTTTATGATCTTTATCGTTTTGGATAAGTATATATTTTTTGTTCCCCTTGAGTTGTTCTTAACTTTAGAAATCAACACAGACCAACAATTTGACTTACCTACTTTTATCTATTAGTAAAGGAGATTGTAGTGCACTCTATTTGAGTCAATATTTGGTAAGTACCTAAAGATTGCTTACTCTGAATAAAATTCACAACTATTCCATTCTCTTTCTTACGTTGCAGTATAGTTAGGTACCTAAACAAGTAATATCGAAATATTTATATGTTTTAAGCTAAGTTACCTAATTATATAATAATTTGCCAGGTATTTAGAGATTTAAAGGATAATAATGCTACGTATTTATCTGAGTTTGTGTATAACTTACCAACAATACGCACACTAACAGTTTACAACAGCCAATATCGAAACGCAACGCATTAAATTAATTCCATATTAATGCGCTTCGAAATTTAAATTATGGACGCCACCCGCACCCACTGGGGTGGGGACACGCATCCCTAACTATCCCCCACCCGAGGGGTGGGAAAAAAATATAATAGTATTCCACCTGCGTCGGGCGGGCATAGAGTATTGACGCACGCCGCCATTTTGTTGTATTCGAATTTCGAACGCCATTTACGAATTTTTATTAAATGCAGATGCGAAATATATTGCACGAAGTCTAGTTTGAAATGTTGTTTTTATTACACATCACGTTACAAGGTTTAGTCATAACAGTTAACCGTATTGTAATTAAAATGATTGAGTTTTTGGTAAAGAGTGGTATTTTATTGGCCTATAAAGAGTTCGCTATAAAGAAAAGAGCAATTACTTATTTACAAATAGGATGGTATTTGTTATAGTAAAGAACATCAAAGGAAATCAGAAACTACTTGCAATGTGCGGTTGTATAGGGTTAAGTGTTTTACGCAGATACATATTGAATCACTTGAATTATTCTAGGTCAATTAAGATTCAAACGAAGATCGATCAAACGAAAGTCGAATTACACGCGTTATTAAACGAGAAAACATGCAAGAATTATTCGTATGCAAGTCAAAATGACGTGTAAGACGCGTTCCAAATTCAAAAATAAATTCGCAACGAGCGCACTGTCGGCGCGTCGTTTTAAAATCGACGTGATTCGAAGTTCTAGAAGATTTTTAAACGAGCAATTTCTTAAATAGTGTCTGTGGTTTACGCGAGTAATACAAATTTAAATAAAACACTTTAACGGTTTTAAACGCGATATGTATTCGTTAACTTACGGCCCGACGTTTCGGATACCAAATACATACTAACTTCGACGGATCAGATGGCGCTAGCGGAGAAGTTTTTTACTTTGGCGTCAGTGACACTCTCCATCTTTAGTCTCCCCGTGACCACGGTTGCTGCAAAGCATCCGAAATGTCGGGTCGTTGTTATAATAATTCTCAAACAAATTTAACTCATATATATTACGTTTTAAACCGTTAAAGTGTTTTATTTCAACACATTTAACAATTTACCTTCAGAGGCAAATAAATTAATTAAGTTTCTTCGTTAAATATTGTGCCACAAAGTCATAAGGTATGCACTTTAGTTTGGTACTTTCATTTAATTACAACCAGCCCACGCCTTAGTTTATAGAATTTTTTTTTTAAAATAGAACGTAAGCCTACGCGTCACTTTACGTAGACGGTTTTTGAAAAAAGAATGTTTTTATAGGTACTTATAACACACTTTAACGGTTTAAAACGCGATATATAATAATGAAGCTTATTTGTAAATTATTTTAATTACGGCCCGACGTTATTTAGGTATTTATAACACTTCTCTATGAGTTGAGATGATGAAAAATCATAGAGAATCTAAATCTTTTACCAAGAATAATGCTAGGTTAAGAATTTGAAACCTACGCAGCGGAGGTTGCATTAGGAAAGTACTTTTGTATGTAAATCGAATGCGTAGGCTTTAGCCGGTCTGGAGCGAGACTGAGATACTATTGTTTCCTGATTTTTAATAGTGCAACTCTATATTTATGTCTATAAATGGTGTTTTGCTTATTAATTATTATTTACACTCAAAGACGTAGCGTCAAAAGCAGTCTAATTTTAATTTTAATTACTAAAAACTTATAGAAGTCTTAGAATATTAAAAACACAAAAATCGACCAATGTTAAACCTAGGATTGCGGAGGAAAGTAAATATATAATGTAGTGTATCAATCAATTAAACAAACGAGTAAATACTGTCTGTAGTTTACGACAGTAATTCACATTTAAATAAAACACTTTAACGGGTTATAACGCTATATATATCCCCCCGTGACCACGGCTGCAAAACATCCAAAACGTCGAGCAGTAGTTCTTTTACTTAGCGAATAAGTTTAAGGAATGTATATCGCGTTTCAAACAGTTAAAGTGTTTTATTGAAAACAAACGTGTAGTTAAAATTTTAGTAACAAATTAAAATCGATAAATATTACAATCTAACTGAATAGCATCCTCTGGCAACATCTAACAAACTGTGCTAAGGCAAACGCCTTTCCCTTTACATTTATTCATAGAGAAATAACAAAAATAACCATAGACAACCGTCCATTATACGCGGAGCCCGCGCGCTCTCAAATCGGCGAACGCTCAAAGGGTTAAAAGGATTATTAGAAATGGCGAGGGGTCTTATTACACTGGTGACTTTTACGCGTAGGTTGTATGGCTTGAAAAATGGTCGGCCGGCTACAATAGTATAGAGAACGGTGAACCCGGAAGAAATATTTGCCCATAGACAAGATTTAATCTGTGCGCGGGAAGTTTTAGATGAGGTTCGATTTTTGAAGTTGCAGCCTAATGAGAAGCTTTCGCGTTGTAGGTGAGAATAGGGTCTCGTTAGAATTTCGGCCGATTTAAGGCCCGTTACACATATGTGAGGTATAGGGCATACCTACGATGATGTTTATTTCCTATACGACTTTTACAGATAACTACGTATTTAGTATTTTGTACCCAAAGCGGCCGTCATAATTATTCATTTTTAACCGGAATTTGAATCTAGAACTCTAATTAATAGTTAGAAAACTAGTTTAAGAATTGACCTCCAGGCCTTTAAAGATATCTAAGTAAAAAATTTAATGGACATATTTTCTTTTATTTACAAACAAATACTGATGCAAATATAAAATTAAATATTTGTTTAAACTAATTACATAATTGTTACACATACGAATGTATCTTAAAGTAGGATGTACCTTATTTAATATCTCTATCTCTCTCTTTATCAAACCTTTTTCGTAAATTAGGCACTCTTCGTCTTAATCCCATTAAAATTGTTATTTTAAATTATTCTTAAAATGTCCTTTAATACAATAAATACAAATATACTGGTTTTGAACGGTGCAGTACTTATGAAAAGATACAAGTTTTTTGAAAGTAGGTTACCTATTATTCATACTTTCTAGTCTCTGCTAAGTTGATCTCTTAGAGCCTCTTAACCCAGCTCTTTTGCTGTTAGCCTTTTGTAGTATGTTGTTTGGGTGCCTACTTGGAAATGCGGTTTAATTATTTATTAGTTTAAAATAATACTGGTAAAGAATATATTTCCTTTGCCACTTAGCAAAGCACACTCAAATAAGTCCGGTAGTTAAATACTGTCTATAGTTTACGCGAGTAGTACACATTTAAATAAAACACTTTAACGGTTTCAAACGCGATATATTAGTTAAACTTATTTGAAAATGATTTTTAACTTCGGCCCGACGTTTCGGATGCTTCGCAGCAGCCGTGGTCACGGGGAGACTTTCAAATAAGTTTAACTAATATATCGCGTTTTAAACCGTTAAAGTGTTTTATTTTAAAGTCCGGTAGTTTTACGTAGTTTTCAGTCAATAAATAAAAGAACAACTTATAATTTATTTTTCATATATTTTCATTAATTAAAAATTAAGTTTAAAAATAAACTTAAGATGTATAAACTGTCCTTCGAAGTTTTATAGTAGAAAATTTAAATCTAAATAAAATCTATATCTACTAGGAAAAACGAAACATTTAAATTTCGAATGCATTTGAGTCGAGAGATACGACGTCCCATTTATCGCCAATAAATATAGCAATCGACCGTTAGCGCGATAAACTATATAATTCTACCTCCAATATATCTTATTGCATCTATAGTAGGAAATAATTCTACAATATCTTTCTTTATGGCTTCATGTGTGCACGCATTCTTCACAAACATGCAAAAACACTAACACATTCAAACGGCCGAGCCGTACAGATGCGCTACGTGTGTGTGCGTCGCGCGTGTCAATATCTATGTGTGCGTGCGTTCAATGACCTATGCATTTGCTTGCAGTACAGGCTAAAAGTATGCGTTGGTTTTATTATGGTTTTATTTTAAAAATGGAACTGCGGTCATCTTGGGTTAGGTCGCGGTTACTTTTCGGGTTATTCGGTTACTGAAGGTCATTTTTTAACCGTTACACAATAAGTGGTTCCATATTTAAAATGTTTGAAAAAATTGGAGCATCGTTGACGTCGCGCGCTCATGACCGTTGACCCGTAATGAAGTGTTCTAATTTTAAATTTAAAACTGTAGAGGAAGTGTACGGCTATTTAAAACACGCAGCTTGGGTTAGGTCGCAAATAATTTTCTTGACCGTGAACGCGAGTTCGAACTTAATTTGAACAGAGCAGGGTCGATGATTTGCGACGCAATCCTGCACATAGAGACAATTTTTGTGAATACCTACAGTTTTTATGGCAAAGGATAGAGAAACATGGGTTTCGCTTGATAGAAACTGAAATAGCCAGCCATATAACACGTGAACAAGTAAAAGACACCTTACTTAGCGCTCTTCTATTTTTAAAATATTTCAAATTAATTCAAACATAAACGGAAGAATCACAGCGTGGAAGGGTACTTTAATAAAACACTATTTAACGTTTTAAAACGTGTACTAAATTTGTGATTTTATAGTCATTACTTTCGATGTTCAACAAATTCAAACTCAAACCATTTATTTCACAAGACAGAATAAATAACTTAAATATAAGCTTAAATAACTAACATTTATAAAAAAAGAATAAATAAATACAACATTCATTTCTGTACATAATATAAACAATTTGTCATGAGTAGACTTTTTCATGCATAATATATGCATTCATCGCATTAGAATTAGACCAGTAGCGACATCTGCTGACAAATAATATCAATTGTTTAGACCGGCAATACGAAACGCTGTGGATGCCGATTCGAGTCCCGTTCATGACGACGAATCTTGCAATCTAATAATGCAATTGAATATAAAATAAATTCATAGTATTAGTTAGAGATTATAAAAAAAAACGATGAAAAAGTAAACCAATAAATTGGAACACGTGCTCACAGTATATAAATTACTTTTAAAAAGGTTTCATTCTATTCGAGATTATTTTATGATACACTTGACTATTTGTTGAAGCCGAAGCCGAATAATCGGCTTAAGTTTATTAATGACATATTTATCAACTTTGACACCTTCTATTAGGTATGTTAAATACTGTCTGTAGTTACCGCCGATTTAACGGGGAGAACTGTGACCACGACTGCTGCAAAGCATCCGAAAAGTCGGGCCGTTAAAATAATTTCCAAATAGTTAAAAACAAACTTGTCCACGACACTCCTTCTGCCAACAACCATTGGACACCGATCTTAATATAGCTCGTACATTTAGGGGAAAACAATAGATTTTTTTTACAGTTTCACTTAAAAAATCGATAATTACTTACATACAGTTTATGCAACATTTGAAATCTGTAAGTTATTGTGTTCGGAAATCTTCGGTTTTTCTTCGCTATTTTCCAAAGCCGAACCTTCTATCAGACTCTTAAAAATATAATTAATTCATCATACATCCATATAAGAGATACTAGTTCTCGAAGCTAGTTTTTAACCACACAATCAATCACTTTACTTTTAATTAATAACTTAAGTGCCGATATTATCTGTGACCTAAAATTACTAGCCAAGTGAGAATGAGCAGTTATTATCTTTAAAACGGTGTTTTCTATAATCACAGATAAGAAATTTACATGAATATTTAAAATACTTATAACCGGTAGATAGCAAATTCGTTTTTTTTTATCATAAATATAATTATATAATACTTAGAAATTGTATACTATTAAGATTTACAAACAAAACCGGAAGCATATCATTGTTTTTGGGCCGTGGGCCGTCGGCCGACGTGAACGAGAAACACACCCCCCCCCCCCCCCCCCCCCCAACAAAAAAACCAAAAAAAAAAAAGGGGGGGCCCCACCCCCCCAACCCCCCCCCCCTTTATAAAAACCACCCCCCCCCCCTTTGGGGGGGAGGGGGGAGAGAACCCCAAAAAAATCCCTTTAAAAAGGGGTTGGGGGGGGATAATCATAATAGGCTAATAAACGTAGACAACTAAAATCATTATAATCTATATTGGTTGTTCCTATTAAATCAAATTGAATCTATAATTAAATACAAAAAAATCGTTACCTTAAAGATGCTTCGGGTATTTGTCTATTACTTATGCTTTATTTTTTATATTTCTGCAGGTGAAAGACCGTACAAGTGCCACCTGCCAGACTGTGGCCGCGCCTTCATCCAGCTCTCGAATCTCCAGCAGCACCTGCGAAATCACGACGCCCAGGTAGAGAGGGCCAAGAACAGGCCATTTCATTGTAACATATGTGGAAAGGGCTTTGCCACGGAAAGTAGTTTGCGAACACATACAGCTAAGGTAAGCAGCAGCAAACTCTTGGGACAATGTAAATTATGACTGAAAAATAAAATTCAATAGACATTTAAATAATGTCTGTCGTTTACGCGAGCAGTACGCATTGAAATAAAACACTTTAACGGTTTAAAACGCGATATATATTAGTTAAACTCATTTGAAAAATATTTTTAAGTCTCCCCGTAATCACGGCTGCTTCAAACGTCGGGCCGCAGTCAAAAATAATTTTGAAATAAGTTTGACTAATATAACCGTTTTAACCCGTTAAAGTGTTTTATATAAATAAAATAGACATTTTCATCACCAGTGCATATACAGTGTTAAAAAATACTTCAAAGAATGGTTCTTGATAATATATATTAAATGCGCATAATACATAGCAAGAATATTACTAATAATCTATCCCTTCAGTAGAAAGTAATGTATTACTACTTTATTTTGAAATAAACTTATTCTTTCAACAGACATCAAATCAACTTTTTTTGCTTACTTTACAAACATAATATACAATTTACTGACAGTAGACGAAGCTATATTATAAAAATAGCAAGTATAAAGGTAGATAATTCCTAGGCACAAAAATTCATAGTATTAGTTTGATTTTAATTGTGCTTAGAAGGATATTACTTGATTGTTAAGCCAAGTCTAATTCCTGTCAAATACATTAGACATCATCAAAAACTACAACGATACTCTCAAAAATTTTAAGTTTAAATAATTTTAGGTTAATAATTTAAATTGTAGTATGAATTGTGTTTAAATGTACATGTGAATTATGTAAAAATAGCTACGCTACGATAGTCGTTTTTATTTTATACATCTGAGTTTTTAACTGTTGGCTCTATGATTTCACAAATTCTCATTATGTACTCGAAATTCCCTTTGGCCGTTACATTTTATTTGTCTTTTATTCTAATTTCAAAATTCACTTTCGACTTGTACCCCTTATTTTATTACGACGTTGCTAATCTTTACACTATGCCCACGCCACCTCGGTGGAACAGGAGCTTCAGCTGCACCTTGGTGTTTTGCAGCAACATGCAGCGCTCATGATAGGGGGCGCCACCGCCACCCCATGCCCAATATGCCATAAAGTGGTATTCGGGGGCGAAGCCCTAGTCGAACATATGAAGAACACGCACAAGGATCCCAACGCGTCCGGCGTAGCCAGTAAGTTTCTGGACGCCATTTTTAAAATCCGCGACGCAGAAGGAACGTCATCTAGTCATCTAGATTACTTTTCTTTATATAAGCTAGATTAAGCGACCTCTTTTGTCGAGCGACTGTCAATTTTTCTACCCTCATTCAAGAGTAATATTTGCAAATTGTTCGCTCGCACAAAAGAGATTTATTAGCCTGTAAGTTGAGCCGCTGGAAGTTTGTTAAAGCCCTATCTATTCTTTTACTGTCTTGAATAAAATATATGGTTACCGTTTTACAATGATACGAAAAAGCTTCCAACTGGCACAAAGCCACGAGGGGTGTTGGTTAAAAATCACACCAAAAACGTATCGTTCCCATAAAGTATTAGTTTTAGTGTACAGGCACGCCATTTGTATTATCGTTTGTTATTATTTCGTCTTCATTAGAGGGGGTTGGATGTTTTGCAAACATTTCTTGTTTTAGACGATTCTTCGGATGGCGTACCATGCTCGTTGTCAAAACATGTTTTGTTTATTCTATAGCTGAAGATTTCTTCGTCGATACAGCGTTAATTGATTTATTTAGTTCTGTTTATGTACTAGAGTAAGATGACGGTTGCGTTTTGCTAAAACTTTGAAGCAACATTGAACTCTCGCTTTGTATACACAAAAGTTTTGGAGATGCAATCGTCCCGTCGACTGTTCTAATATCGAGACTAACCGGTTTGTTTTTTCTCTCCCCCCTCTAACCCACTAACCTTCCTCATCCTGGTGTTATGGTAGGCCCTCCTGCCACATCACCGTACCCAGCGCAAGCTAAACCTATTGATCCTTATGTAGCGAAGCGGCGGACTGCGAACCACCCGTGCCCGGTTTGCGGGAAGCATTACGTCAATGAAGGGTCTTTGCGGAAACACCTCGCCTGTCACCCAGAGACACAGCTGACGAGCGGTCTGCGGATGTGGCCTTGCTCTGTATGTCAAGCGGTGTTCACTCATGAAAGTGGTAAGCATCGTATCTTTTATTCTCAAAAAAGAGGAGAACATTTTAAAAACAACGATGGATAATAAATATACACTCTTATTTCTGCTTTTCCATTACATTTTGGACCCTTTATTTTTAGAATTGACAAAGTCAAAATGATCTATGATCTATTTAATTCTCGTCAAATGTAATAAATGATATAATGTATCTATTTGCCTAACCAAGATAACGCTTGATCAGCAATTAAATATAGTTGTAAAATACTATTAAAGGCTTCAACATAAATACAATATATCCTTATCCATTAATTGATAATATTTCTGATAGCGATTTAAATACGTACATGGAAAAATAAAATATATTACTTGTACGATACAAAATAAAAGATAAAGATAACCTAAGGTGCATTAACAAAGTAATGCACGCTGATAAAATTGTATGTCACTACGAAATTGATAAAACACAGACCAACTTATTTCGCCCGCTTTTAAGGTACCTAATGAGAACTAATATTGTCTTTAAAATATTACGACTATTTAAACAAATACCTAACATAAGTTCAAACAAACAATAGTAGCTAGAGAACGTTGTTTATTTGATTGTGGACCTGTAATTGATTAATATACCACTGTGTTCACAGGTCTTGTAACTTATTATTATACAGATAGCAAATTAATAACTGCGTCACAATATTTTTCAGGTCTCTTATCCCACATGGAACACATGAGAATGGAACCAAAACATCAGTTCGCCGCACAATACGTCCTCTCGAGAGCAGCAGCTGAACGACGAGAAAGAGATATCCTTGCCGCAGTTTCGGCTTCGGCAGGAGGTTCAGGTCTTCTTAATCTGGCTCCACCATCACCTGCTCATTCGGACTCATCGTCCAACGGTCGTTTATCGTCATCCGCTGGGTCTGAAGCGGGAGCTGCTGTAAACAAACTATCTGACCTGTTAAGATCGAACAACGGACATCAAGCTTATCCTGACGAAAGAGTAGCAGCAATAGCAGCCGCTGCAGCGAACATGATGGCACAACCGGGCGAAGGTCCGAACGCTGTTCAGGTCGCTGCTGCAAATCTAGTTACCGCGATGCGCCAGCAGTTAGCTAGAGAACCGCCAGCACAAACACCCGAAACACCACCAGCGCCTACCGAAGCAGCTCTTCGAATTCAGCAGGCTGAAGCTTTACTCCGAAGTCAAGCGGAAGCTCTCAGGCTAGCTGTGACTCAGGCCGCTGCAGGGCACAATAGCGAAAATCCAAGCCCGTTAAGACACAACGGAGGGTTTCCCCAACCGAATGACGTCAGTGGACAACTTTCTCCAGAGCTTGTAGAAGCGTTCCGAATCGCGCAAGAGCAGAGATTAGAGCAAGCATTACGATTGCACGACCCAAGAATGCTAGGCTTTAATCTACCGTCACCTGTGCAAGCTGCTCAACAGGCCGCTCAAGCTGCTCAAGCCGCTCAGGCTGCACAAGCGGCTCAGGCTGCACAAGCCGCCCAAGTAGCGCAGGCCGCGCAAGCTGCGCAGGCCGCCCAAGCTGCTCAAGCAGTGCAACAACAGCACATTCAAGCTGCACAAGCGGCCCACGCCGCTCAGGCGGCCCAACAAGCGGCGCAACAGGCCGCACAACAAGCTGTCCACCTGCAGCAAAATCCTCAACCGTGAAAATTTAGCTATTACTAATCCGATGCGATTTCCCATCGCACACAAATGAGGAAAAACTATGAAAATTTTTCGTATATTTTTGAGCGGATTTTTTTGGGCAGAGCGTGAAATCGCCTCTGGTTAGTAATTTATTTTGACAATTCTATATTGTTTTTGGGTGCAAAATTATGTAACTATATTAGTTGACTAAAAGAAACACTGATTACTAATACTAAATTTTAGATAGACTAACTGGTGTAAATAGAGAACGCTTAAAGGCATATTGTGTACATATAAAAGTAATGTACCTTTATAATATTAATAATTGAACAAAATGGAACAAAAACTCGCCCAATCAAATAATTAGACGTAGTACGAATGATTACGACCAGTGCAATCAAAATTGATTTATCGGTTAAAACATATTGTTTACTTTAAATATATTTATTTTTAGTTTTATTAGCTTAATCGCTTAGCTAAGTACAAAGTTTTCGATGTGCCAAACAGCACAGTCCGTCGCATTTAGCGATATCGCAATATTCGGTTGCAATAATTATTTCCAACAATATTTTAATTATTTATCTAATATTCTACTTTTTCGCAATAACAAATCTTATGCTAGTCAAGAATTTATCGCACAAATATTACATCAATTCGAAATTGTTTTCCTTATACACGTTTTAATTATTTCGCTAAGGGTTAGTCTTATTTTAATGCCATATTAGACTAATATTGTACATACATAAGCCTATCGCACATCGTTGATGCTTTTGTTTATAATCTAAAAGAATACTTTATTTTATATTAATTATTATTTCTATAGAACCTTCTTATTTACATTATCTTTATTTTGTATAGTTGTATATACATGTTATGTTACAAGACTGCCGTACATTCGGTATTTCGGATGGTAGCGATTTTTAACTGAAAATGAATACACGACAATTAATGGACGTCGAAGCGATTTTTCGACAAGTCTTGATACACGAGACATTCTTTACAAGGACACTGACTAAGCCCAAACATTTTATTTTATATATTCATATTCTAACAAACAATAGCCCACATTGACCCGAAAAGGTCATCAAAGCATTTTGCTTTCAACTACAACAGAGCAGCTTTCCAGTTGCATAATAGATTATAGTTTACGAAGTCTCGGATTCATTTTCACTTAAAGTTTATTGAAGCGAAAATGAACCCGCGACCCAGGATAAGAATGTCAAGTGTTGCCGAATATTCTTTTAATATTATCATCATGTATTATATTTAAGGGTGGTGTATAATTATATACACGTGTACGCGTATACATAGTTATACATCGTATTATTCTACAAATAATCGTAATAGGTAAGGTAATGTAAACTGATTTAACGTACGTAATTATTTCATTCTTGAATTAATATTGGTATTAAGGCAGTGGTTACATGTCGCGGCGTGTACGCACTGTCAGGTATCGATGTCAAATGAAAATCAATGCAATAGCCCGAGTCGTATATTGTTTAAGAGTTAAGTTTCGGTTGTCGACTGATGAGTTTAATGCTAATTTACAATTACGTATTTCATTTAGACATACAAACATTTTCGGCGATTTTTCTTATAATTTGGCGCGGTAATGGTGTTACGAGCTGGATGTCCGACGATGAATCTAGGAAACGTTATACATTGAAATACTTTCGACTGATCAATCCGAAGCCGTCGCGAGACGGATCGCTATTTATGTAAAAAGAAGAAATTCCTCAATAAATTTTAATATATAAATAAATTTAATATAACAACAAAAGAAGTTCCTATGAATATTGTATAAATTGTATTGTTTTTAAATTTAGAACTTAGTAGAGGGAAAAATTTATGAACGTTTGGTATTTTTAAAGTTATAATTAACTACCGCATTTGAACCGCTGTCGAGTGCGCGTTGTACAAAACAATCGAAGCACGGATCGTGAATCCTAAATTAGATTAGCAAGCTACGTTTCCAGAAAAGTGTTCAAATCCAAACGCTCTCGCTCGCGACGCACCGTCGAGAGACGATATTTGTAAAAATAAAAGATATATTTTCGAAGGCACAAATTTTTAAGAGATTTTTTTAGACAACAAAAATACAATAATATAGGCGCCGGAGTGTCGCGAGCTCGAGCGGTGTTTTCTGTGATCATCGAAACGGAATAGTTATAGCAGATCGCATCTGACAAGAGTTATGTTTAAGTTTTTGACGATTAAATTTTTTAATGTTGACGAAAAACTGGAAATTGTGAAAAATGTGAAATTTTTTCTACATTTATTTTACGATAAAAAATTCCATAGTTAAGCTGTACATTTAATAAGCCTAATTAACAGTATATTGGCGATAAATGTCGCTTGCAGACGGGGGGAAGGAAAAACACGATAACTTACACGATCGTATTTTTGCGTCCCTCCGAATTTAGTTACAATAGTACTGGGTTATGTTATAAATGATACGGAAAAATAGTGGTTCCGTAAGTTTTTCAATACGAATGCGCTGTTGGTTCGTCTCTATTGAGAAATGATCGTGGCATACTCTTAGTTTAATTGGCTTATAATATACGTGTTTAATATTTTTACATATTTCGTTACTAGGACAATAAGTTGATTTATTGGATATACTACTTTGAGACGAACGAAATCATAATTCAAAAACAATTGAATGTTTCTCATAAGAAGCAGTGGTTTCTTCGCCTTTCAGGAGGTAAAATGACTAATCTGTTATGTCATAAAAATTAAAAAAAAAACGGTTGAATAATGGTTTTAACAAATCGATCGAAAATCATCAGTTATAGTTCGACAATTCCTACAAATTTGTATTCTAATGAATTACACATGACAGATTCTCGCTCCCATCTTGCGATTACATTACATTTTTTATTTTAATGTTATTACAACCACTGTTCTGCGTGTTGCACTGGCGTCTCCGTTTATACTCCGTTACAGTTGCAGCACGGAAAACTGTTGTCTGTTAAGTTTTTAAATAATAGATTGCTATAGATTTTAATTACTCATCCTTATTGACTGTTATCGTTTTTGTTTCGAACGCTTCGTAGTTTTCCGTTGAATTCTTTTTAAACATTTAGCCAAATATACACATATTTAAGTAATTAAGTGTAGACAGGATAACCAGTTTTCAATTCATAACACAAGTAGTAGTAATTACATGTATTCTTATAAGTAAGTTAGTAATAAATGTAATGTAATTGTGGGCGCGTTTATAAAATGGCGGATCGGTGTTTTATAAACGTGTTCATTTCAACGTGGATTAAGTGCGTCAATGAGCGCTTACTCCGCGTTACGTAGTGGACAACGAAATAAAAAAAATAAACACAAAAAAAGGTACTTAAATGTAATAGTTAATCGAATATATTGGTGTTTTAAACGGTCATATGCCACGATCATTTTGGGATAAAGACTCTTTTGATACAATGATAAAACCTGCGAGCTGTGAATCCGTCAATATGAAATTTTACTAATGCTCATTTTTATAGTGTTTCGGCGAAATCAGAATGTTTTGAATAGATAAAAATGTGACCAGCAGCGCATTTCCTCTTCAAGTTGTGCGCCTAGCGGCTACCCTCGATAATGTCACAGGGGCATTTTCGTTGTTGCTTAAATAACAAACATTTTCATTATCATGAAAAACTACTTGGCCGTAAAACACTTGCGAACGGCGACGTCTTACAAACTAAATAATTATTAACACAAAGTAAATAAGATACTACTAAAATTAATTATTAAAAAATAAAATAGTTTTACTCTTTATGTTAAAAGACATGAGACTAGGCTTGTCCGCAGCGAGGCTTGCGCTGACTTTCAGTCTGTCTCTTACCAGATGACAATTACCAAAAATTTAAACACGTCGCCGTTCGCATAGACGTTCGTCGTGGTCAAGGGGTAACGGCAAAGATTGTATTTCTCTAATCTCCCCCAATCGGTGTATTCTAGTCCTTGTTTTTATTTCTCTAGTGTCGTGGAGACGGAAACGAAATTTAAACACTTTTTGGCGATTGTAAATTAACATGGAAACGTGTTGTAAATTCAAAATTACTGTACTTATTGTAATTCGGCTATGTATTTAGGCGTAGAGTAAAAATATGTTTAGAATGTCAAAATTCGCGTTTGGCTGTACCTAAGTAAATAAATTGTGTATAAAATTAGGAAGTGACGTGTTACCTTGATGTTTAGGTATAAAGATACCAGTTTCAAAATTCTACTCTCTCGTAGTAACCGAGCGCGACCCTCCCTTTTGTTTTTAGTTGTAATTCTTGTATAGAGTTATTTAATTATTATAAGTTTAATATTTGTGTTAAACGATGCCATGTTTAAACTAATTACTTTAAGCCCCGATGTGTTTATTAAATATTATATTTTTTATAGAGGTTATTATTTTCTTCGACGCGTAGTCACTTATGTGTAAAGTTAAGTTTTAGTGTTGTAACGTTACTTTGTTTAATTTCAAATTTCGAACAATATTAACCCATTAATTTTATATTATTTTAACAACGTGAAATGCTTATTGTGTCATTAAACTGAGAATAGTAACTATTATTGCCGAAACGGTTAGCTATAATTATTTTAAAAAATAAAAACATGATTCATAACTTATTGCGTTTATTTTAACCTGCACACGAAAGATACGTAAAATGTATCCTCACAATAATAACCAAACTCTTAAACCGCAAATGTGGTAGCAGTTGCCATATTGTAATGATAAAATATGAAATGCGGTTAAAATGCCTACAAACATTTCTTTAATCCTAAGAATACGTTGCTACTAAGTATCATAAAAAAATGTTCAAAAAATTGTAAGTGTATTGAAAAATAGTTTATATCAACGCCATCTCACGCATATTAGCTACATTACACAGACAGGTTTTACTGCACAATAACTAGGTAATACCGAATTCGTATTGCCATATTTTGTGATATAGCCTAAATTACCACGAAAACGAAGTCCTTACAAACATTTTCTAATAAGGAAATGTCACTAAATTTTATTTTGAGTTAAGTGCCCT